TTCCACAGTGATCAGTGTAGACTGCTTAAGTCAGTTAACTTGTTTGTATATTAGTTTATTTAAAAAAAAAAAAAAAAAAACAGGTTAGACAAAGTAGATTCTAAGGTCTCTTTTAACTTTGGTATTTCTTTATTCCATTTAGAAAAAAAATATATAGCTTCAGACAAGAAAGTTGGTGACACAAAATAACCAACAAATGGAACATGCTAGCCAATCAATTTTCAACAAGACAAATATACTATGGATGGAAAGCAATTCTTAGGGAAGAAAAATAAGCAGTATTGTCATAAAACAAGCAGGTTTGCCCTATTTCTTTATAATTAATGTTTCTTCTAATTCATCTGGAATTTATTGAGTTAAACTAAATACAGCTAAGGCTTGAATCATCCAGGATTTCATATCCAAGACCTGTCAGTTTGATGATCCCACTATTTTTAACATAGAAATAAATGGCTTCTATGCTTGTAAGCACTAGAGAAGGACAGCCTATGAAATGTGCTTTTCTCTCTCTCTCTCTCTCTCTCTCCTTCCTATTCCCCTCCCCAGTTCCTTCCTCTTCCCTGTCATCCCCCACAGGCTGAGGAAGGCAACAACCCCTTTGATTGTGTTCAGCTCTTGCACATATTTCTGCACAAATCAGGCATCTTTCCAAAGTATATGTCAGGGTTCTCACTCTAGCCTTGTGGCACACTTATCAAGAGAGAAAGTCCTAATTAGATATCAGTTTCCTGAAGCAGAGAGGGTGTGGTTACATGAATTTACCAAAGGGGGAAAACTCTAAACGAACTAGTAAGAATAAATTACTTATCTAATCACCTACACCACAGCCTAAAAATCATCATGCTACAAACACCCACCACCAATACTGTTTAAGAAGAACAATGCATAATGTTTTTCATTGACATTAAAGAAAGTTAAGCACCCTTTTAAAATGCAATTTGAACATCTAAGGCACTTTAAAGCCTCAATTGCCTAACCAGGAATTGTAAATGCATACAATGCATCATAAAGTAACTTAGCTAACAATGATTGCATACACATACCACATCACAATTACTGCTCCATATCTATTAGAATAGGCAAACAACAACAACCAAACAACAAATGAAATAATTTGTAAATACAAATGACCCTTTTATTCATAAGGTCTAAACCATATTCATGTCTCCCTTTCACCAGTTTCCCTGAAATGACCTCAGTAAGAAAAGTTAATTGGTCACTAATGTCTGCCCTGAGAGCTTTTCCACACAACTTTTCTTCACTCTAGATGAGTCAGGATGAAGATCAACAACAAACAGCAGTTACCATGGAGAAGCCCCGCTCCTAATTCCATACCATTGCACATGTGCAAAAGATGCTAGTGCTGTACATGGAAGTGGCTCAAATACCTCTATTAATGAGAGATAAACAAATTCTTCCATCTCAAGTAATTCAGCTGCCTGGACAGCAAAAGGTCAGGATTGCCATCATATATAAAAACAGTGTTAAGCGATTCCTTGTATAATAAAATATACGTTATCTGTCTTACAGCTTGAATATTATCCAGTGTGGTTAAATAAAAATATACATGACAATACAATCAGACCTTTTACTTTTGTAAGACAAATGAATTAACATATGATCTGCCAGATCCAGCCTACAAAAAGACATTACATAAAACAGTATTTTGTGAAAAACAAAAATACCAAACATAGTAAAATGGAATGTTAGGGTCCTTTTCTAGCTTTTCCCCACATTCAAGTTTATGACAGTTTTGTAATCAAAGCAAGTTTTTCTCGAGGAAAAATGCCAAATGAATCATCTATATGAGAATTTCAGAAAGTAAATGGTACTTCTTGGTGGATATGATTAAATAAAAAAATAAAGTCTCAGATTTACAAACATCTTCAGAATGTCAAAGATTTATCAAACTTCTCCAATACTGCTTAATATTCAAGTGATAGATTATGACCTTAAAGCAACAGGAATTCTGCCTATTGAGCATTCTTGCCAGTAACACAATTCCCTCAGGATATATGGGTGATTTCTTTTTGGCTTAAATACCTGTGAAAATTCTTCAGTCAATACCTTTACCTGAATTGTTTTAGAAATCAAAGTTCAAAATCATATAGCTCTATAACTGGAAAAATCTTTAGAAACAAAGCCACTTTGTATATTTTAAAAGACTAAAACCCAAAAATGTTTGGTGACTTACCCAAAGCTTGTGTCTAGCTTTGTCTAGTTTATTTAAACTCTAATTCTAGAATTATGAAGGATGAGTGATAAAAGCAGTTTTAAAAAAGAAAAAATCAGTCATCTCATGTACATTGACATACATCAAGTCAATATAAAGTCACAGAAGATGTAAAATCATTCTATCATCATCATCATCATCATCGCTAAAACTGAGTTCTAAAGGAGGTACAGAAAAGTTATCCATTATTAGAATAACTTATCTTCCATAGCATCTGATCCTATGTACATTTTAATTTAGACTTTGGCATTTAATGAGATTATAAAAGCAATGCTGTATTTAAGATGAAGGAAAGGATGGTGAAATTCTAAATCAGAACCCACAATAGAAGAGACATTAGGATAAAATAAAATATCAGAACTGGAAAATGTACTACAGGGAGGACAGGCTTGGAGAATTTTCTAGGAGGTTCTTTCTAGATCAATATCTCATTACACATATAAAGTTCTCATGGCGATTTGCTCCAAAGGAAAAACTTACAAGACAGAGGGTTTTCTTTCAAGAAACAAACACTCTAGGGATAAAAATAAGAATGATACTTCTGGTTTATCAATAGCACCATTAACTAAGATGTGAACATCATCAATGAATTCCACCACATTTACAGCCTTAATGTAAATAGTTTTTCTAAGCCATCTAAGGAAACACATGGAGCATAAACTTTTAAATTATGCCAAAAACTAATTAAAACAGCTTTGTAGATGTAGTTGCATTCAACCATATTACCCATTTGAGAGGACTGGTTTTGAGGTCAGTCTCACTCTTTAATGGTTTTCTACAGCTCTAAGATGTACGTGGATGTCTTCCCCACCCAATTCAGAGAGGCCCTGAAACTGAAGCCAAAAGATGCAGAGAAGTCATTGTGCTACTGTATACGACTCGTCTTCTTTAAACGCCCTGGCTATTTGACATTTGATGAAATGCCAAACTCCAAGTGCTTGTGTCCACTGTGACACATTCTGTTTATTACATAGTAGTTTGAAGTTGGGTACTCAATTTGCAACTAACTCCACAAGTTAAATATTACATGTTGGGTGCCTTCTGATAAAACATAGAAAAAATATGTCAGTTTCAGACCTAAAGGAAATTACTTTTGATATTTAACATCTTATCCTTAGCATGGCCTTGACAAATGAGATAAAACATGATTTTGAGTTATTGTACTTAATGTATAAAGACTACTTACTATCTTCATTATATCATTGTACTAACTCTAGTTTGGGAATATTTCTTAGATACCTCCATAAATAGCTCTTGTCAGGACATTCTATAAACTTACAGAGTAATTATGTTGTTTTTAAATCTTACCAAAGCTAGTAGCATGCAGACATTTGAGAAATATTGTTCAATTCTGTTTCTACAAACATACATCACAGTACAAACCCAAGAAGGTATGAATTTGACTCAGTATAAACTGATTGCAAAATGACTACAAGTCTAACTAAAAGTTCATAAGCTCCTTTTTTCCAGTTTCCAAGTTTTCAGAATTACACATGCAATCTGAGTATTTTTTGGTGCGACACAAATTTTAGTTAACTTCTAGGATATATTATGGGAACAAAATTTAGGAAACAGACTATCACTGTATTAGAACACATTATTCATGCACAAGCATTTAAAAGAGAAATCTCAAACTCAGAGGTTACTCAGGTAAAAGCAATACAGCCACATTATTCAAGAAAATTTCAAATAATAACAATTTTATGTTCTTGTATTATTGCCATCACATGAATTTTCAACATTTAGAACAGAATTTCAACAGAATTTCTAACATTTAGAACGAATTCTCATGGCTTTCAATACCACAGAAATTGGGATCTAAATTATTTAATAGTTAATGCTCAGAGGTTATAAGTGGGATGCATTCATGATTCGACATCAAAAGACCAGAATGAATTAGGATTGAAATACAAGTTTATACAGATCCTTATTCAAGAAGACAAATAATTGTTCACTTCTTAAAAATTGTAGAACATAACTGTCATCTTCCTCTATTTAGGGCACAAGATAAACTCAGTGATCTCTGTGCATAGCTGCTCTCTGTACCCTTAGGCATTTCTGGGCATTTAAAATCTAGTGGGACAAGTCTAAACCTCACCAGAAACTTAAAGCACTACACGTACAAGAAAAATGTTATTTATCTTCTATTTATAAGCTAATTTACAAATGTCTCAATATGGACATATTATGGATACTACAGGTATCACTGTTTCTAGCTAACAAATAAGAATAAACCTTATTTAATAACAAAATTGTAAACATGCATCAGAGAAAAGCACTTGAACTTCCCTGTACAAACATCTCAGATTAATCACAGATAACTATCTAGAAGCGTGTATCAAGAGCATTAAGCATTATCATCAACTTGAACATGAACAATTATTTCTTCCAAATGAGCCATCCTTCCTTACTCTGAAAGAAAAGGGAAAACAACAACTGCAATAGAGCATATTCTGGCCACCTACTACATTGGCTTGCAACTTTTTTGAATGGCTTATTAAAATAACATTATCAATTAATTCCACCTAAAATATTAATCGTGTACAGATCTTGGCTGGTGATACTGTCTAGAGACTATTATCTAATGGCTGTTCTTGCAACAAATCAAGCAAAACATAGCACTTCGGTACTTACAGACTGCTCAGAGAACACCATCGTGAGAACACCATCAGAGAAACCTTTTGCATTTAAGATTAAAGCTCCACACAAGGTTTATTGTTAGCCCCAGCATGCGAGAAGGAACCAGAGGATGGAGGGAAGAGCTTACTTCGAAAATGCTCTGAAGCGTAATAATAGACATCCTCATAGCCCTCGTGGTAATCCTCTTCTGGTCGGTACTTTTTCCCCTTTCTTCTCCTAGATCTTCTTATCGCCTTGACAAAACCCAGGAAGCGGTCCATCTCTCACTCACTGTGCAGCGCGGCACAGCTAGCACGAGAGCACAGCAACAGCCCAGCTGCTCTGGGAGCCGGTGGAGCATGAATGACCAATACCAAACCTGGACCAGGACGGCTACCCTTCTATCTGCCTCTGGGCTACCATCAACACGGTGACTTTGACCATAGGAGTGGAAAGATAATAATAGCGATACAGATTTATTTTGACAATATTTCTCATTTAGTTCAATAAACTGTCAAATCTGCAATTTTTTTAAAAAAGAGGAAAAGAGAAAGTAAAAATCGTAATGAAAAACTAAGAGGAAAAAACGAACAGCAAAGCTTTGGACTTTAAATAGCTTCCAAACAAAACAAAACAAAGTTCAAGAGATTCAGCTGAGGAAAGAGGAGTCCCAGCACTAGAATTTCACTATCCAATATCTCCATCATCCCATCATAGGGGCGGGGGTATAGGAGAAGAGAGGGGCGGGGAAACACATTAGTCAATGGACTGAACCAAAGTTAGAGACTGAACTGACTTTCTTACCTGCTAATCTCACACCCTAATCCTAGCCCACATAATCTCAAAACATGTGCTTCGGAAACCTCTTGAAAGGCTATTGTTTTGCAATGGGCAGACCGATTAACCCTCTGTGCTCTCTTGCATATCATATTAATAAGCAGCAAAGTGGTTTCATCCATATGCACAGCCTTCTTGCTGACAGGAGTGTGCTGTATGTGTTAATTGGAGCAGCAGGGAGAAGGCTCAGCAGCTGCTTTCAAATGACACGTTTACCCACTGGGCATTAATGTATTCCAATCACTGTTTGATCTAAATATTAAAATGCACTTCGCAGAGAAGCTTCTCATAGGCTTAGTAAAAGCATACCATAATCAGCAAATAAAGAACACTGCATGGTTTAAGAGAAAAGAAATACAAATAATCCAACTCAACTTCCACTGAACTCAAATAGAAAACTAGCTCAATTGTTACTTAAAAAAAATAGGAAAGTTAATTTGCTAAACAGCAAACAAAACAATTCTTGGTGAATACGGCAGTATAAGAAATTTTAAAATATACTCATATGCTGTTCATCCTTTATCTCTAAAAATCACAAGCTTTAAAGTATTATTTTAAGTACAACAATTAGAAACACTTTATACTAGACAAGAGAGGTACTCTAAAGTCTAGAGAGATCAGCATTAATCATGAATAATTTTTTTTTCCTCTATAGTTTCCTTCTTCAGGTCTTTAAGGGAAGAATTTTTAACACCACGAAAATCTGATTTATTCACAATATAATTAATCAAGCATGTCAGCATATTACCTATGAAACTAATGACATTTGCAGCGCCATCTTGGTTCCCAGAAATGTAATTTTTAAAAAGGCTTCTTACTGCATAAAGGTTGTTCAATATCTGTGTAATATCAAGTTTGTAGGATCATCCCAGAGGGAACTGACTGCACTTTGCACTCTGTGAGATTCACAAGCAATTTGTCTTCTAGCTTTACACAGTTCCCTATTTTCAGATATAAATTGATAATGATGGAGCAGGGAGAAGTTTACTTAGAAAGGCAAATATTCATCAGCTATGAACATTTCACATCTAAAATATGTAGTTATTTTCAATGGTTCTGTGAAATTCCTTTATTCCCAGAGGTTTCCCATTTTGTATGCCTTAGGAGTAAGTTTGTGAAAAGAAACACTAAACGATGCTGACAAAAAGATACTATAAAGTGTTTTATGAACATCTTTAAACAAACAAAAATCACTTGTCCTGAGGTTTCAAATCCTTTATTATTCTGACTCCCTCAACCAAAACTAGAACATAGAAAAATTAATGAATGAGAAATTTGAGGATCGATTTTAGACCTGAATAGACACTACATATGACAATAATATATAATCTTTTAATTTAACCTAACAGCCCTAATAATGAAGTGAATGACATTATTTCTCCAAGATCACAAAGCTTACACTATCATTGCAAGTAGTAGCAGGTATTTTTCATACCACTTCAGAAATTGTTTTGCCTAAGCATTACATTTTCATTCAAGTTCTTTCGTTTCTATGTAAATTTGCTCTTAAAATGTAATTTGAAAATAATTGTTGACTTTCATTTTAATGGACCAAACATATATCTTGGTTTATGTGATGAATTCAAGTATATGTGTCCCCCAGATATAATGCAGGCAATAAATTTAATGCAGCTATACTTGAATTTTAACTCTTAAAGTCCATATTAAGTTTTATAGTTTTAAGCTCCCAGTTAAATCTAAAAAGACTAACTTATAGAAAAGATGGTGCTTTACTCTCTAATAGAAAGAAGATTCTTTTTGCATACAACAACTTAAAACATTTCACTAGAGTTTAATTTCATTTTTTAATTTTGGTATTTAAAGGGATTGACTTTCTCAAGCAGTGGTAAGCAACTATTTTTGCACAAGAACTAATGCAGACAGAGTAAAATTATCTACATACTATGTTTTCAGAAATAAACAGAAATTGTACATAAGCACCTTTCTATTTGCTTATTTCTGAAAGATTTCATTGTTAACATTTCAGTATCTGTAATGATACAATCTTTCTATGAGATGTGGTTTGGTGGTGTTGGGGAGGAGTTTAGAGTTTAAACATATATTTAGAGGTGTAAGAGAAAGTGTAAAAGCTTATTAAAACAATCAGACATGCTTGGGAAGCTAGATAGGGTAGCTGTTATTTAAGAGAGGTCCACTTGGGTCACCAAGAATGAAAGGGTGTGGCGACGGATGACATGAAAGAGGGGAAACATGAGTATATGGATCACAATCTAAACGACAGAAGGCTACACACTTGGTGTGCTGCCTGAGGGGCGATGGAGGTGGACGAGATCCTTTTACTCAATTTTGCTGGGTCCATACTTCTTGATATGGTTTTTATCTGCGTCCACACCAAATCTCATGTCAAATTGTAATCCCCAGCACTGGAGGTGCGGCCTGGTGAGAGGTAACTGGATCATGGAGGTGGATTTTCCATGAATGGTTTAGTACCATCCCCTTGGTACTATTCTCGAAACAGTGAGTGAGGTCTCATGAGATGTGGCCCTTTAAAAATGTGTGGCACCTTCTCCCTCTCTCTTGCTCCTGCTGTGGTCAAGTGAGATGCTCACTCCCTCTTTGCCTTCCACCATGACTGGAAGCTTTCCGAGGCCTCCCCAAAAACAGAAGCTGCTACGCTTCCTGTACAGCCTGTAGAACTATGGGCCAATTTAAACCTATTTTTCTTATATACATGACTTAGTCTCAGGTATTTATTTATAGCAATGTGAGAACAGATTCATACACTTCTGAATCTTATCCCATCTTATAAACTAAAATGATCCATGTTTAGCAATAAAGGGTCAACCTAAAATCTTTGTCAGTTCTTGGTTGTATTGTAATAGCTAATTGTTGCTTAACAGTTGCTTAACAGTTAGCTATTGTAATACAACCAAGGACTAACAAATTAGTAGTGTAGTTCAAGTCCATGCTATTAGGTGTACCACTCTTTGTGTAGAGAGAATGGTCCTTTCACTCCATAGCACAAACGCTGGTGAGAGGTGCTATTTAGTAGTTACTGCACTCTACAGTCTAAACTGATGTGACAGTTGACAAGTTGCAAATGGCAGTTCATAGAATGGCAGTTTATCTCCCACAAATATGTTTTGTTTGGCTCACATGAATGTTTGTGGTTTTGTTCTTGTTTTTTTTAAAACTGGGCAAACATCTAAAAGTCAGGAGATTTCATAAATCAAACTTTTTTTTTTTTTTCTTGAAAGAGCAAAAGATTTGGTAATCTTGAGCCCAATTCCAATATGGCAACTATTGATTAGAGCTGAGTGGTGGCTGCTGCCACCCATAAATAAACATGTGCTTTCCATTTAGCTACAGTCTCTCCCCTGGGCCCAATTCAATCATACAGTCCTGCCCCTGCAGGCATAAATGCTTTTGAACAATGGTTGAAGTATTATCCTGACTAGCCAGTCTCAAAACACTAATTACTTTATAAGAAATTCCAACACCCCTATATTTTGATGTAAAGAAAGCAGGCTATTATAACAAATTAGTTATTAGTTCAGCTAAATATTCACTCAACTATAATATTAAATTTCCTAGACAAATTTATTCACCTGAGAAAATAAAGCAGTTTGAATTATTCAACAAAATATATTTTAACAAATATGTATTTTTAAAGTGCTAATTATTTTCTTTTTGAGGAAGCAGGCAATTGCCTATATAACATTTACATGATTTCCATACTCTTCTGAATTAGATTCTTCATCCCCTTTTAGGAAAAAAGGAATGAACCAAGTATTGAGATTAAATCTGCAATTTATAACCTTCCCTAGATCAGTGATCAGGGAGTTCCCTTCCATGCATAATTAGATTGAGTAATTGTTATAGTATTTTTTTGAGTAACAGTATGAAAAATACAGTCCATAAGAGAAATCTTTAAAACATTAAATTAATCTGGCCTTTTAGATATCATGGTATCTGCATGTGATGCCAATAATTGCTGTATCCTTCCTGTGGAAAAAAAACCACTCTCTTCTCTGGCACTAACAGTATTCTCATCAGACCCTTGTAATATCCCTCCTTACTAAATGAAATTCATAGATCTTCTAACTAATGAGCACATAAAAAAAGACATTTTGTGTTTAAATTGTTTTGAGACAGGATCTTGCTGTGTTACCCAGGCTGGAATCCAGTGGTACAATCACAGCTCACTGCAGCCTCCTCCTCTCAGGGACAAGCAATCCTCCCAACTCAGCCTCCTGAGTAGGTGGGACTACAGGCATGCACAACCACACTCAGCTAATTTTTATTTTGTTTTGTAGAGACAGGGTTTTACCATCTGGATGATCTTGAACTTAGGAGCTCCAGCAATCCACCCACCTTAGCCTCCCAACATGCTGGGATTATAGGCATGAACCACCATGCCTGGCCTAAACACAAAATGTCTTAATCCTGATATATATTTATAAATATGTTCAATAATATATATTTCAAATAAGTGAATCTGAGGGCATGGCTACACAGAAAATTTAGTTAAATCCTTGCAACCACCTTATACCTATGTAACAGTATTAGCTTCTAGGCTCAAATAATTAAATAGATTTTCATTTATAAGAGTTTTTATTGGTTGGCACAGTGGTTCATGCCTGTAATCCCAGCACTTTGGGAGGCTGAGGCTGGTGGATCACCTGAGGTCAGGAGTTCAAGACCAGCCTGGCCAATATGGTGGAACCCCATCTCCACTAAAAATACAAAAATTAGCTGGGCATGGTGCTGTGCACCTGTAATCCCCCTACTTGCGAGGCTTAGACAGGAGAACTGCTTGATCCCAGGAGGTGGAGGTTGCGCAGTGAGCTGAGATCGCGCCACTGCACTCCAGCCTAGACAACAAGAGCAAAACCCTGTCTCAAAAAGAAAGATAGTTTTTATTAACAGTAGTTATGTGATGGTTGTACAGGATGCAGAATAAATCTTCAATTTGTAAGCATGTCTCCCTCATTTTAGTATTTCTAGTACCTTTAGTCACCATCCATGAAATGCTAGCAACAATCCCCAACCCCAGCATTGTGATAACCCAAAACATAGAAAAAAAATACTCTGTTTAAAAGACTTTTTTCACAAATAATTCTTGTGTCTCTAATTTGATTCTGTCCAAGTACTACTTATTTGTGTTGTTTATTAAATAAAGCATAGAACCACCTGCCTAAAACAGTAATAATATAGCCTAAGTTTGTTCCTCTGCAAATTGGTGAATACACTAAGCCAATTCATCCATCTGCGAACTATTTCAAGGTCGATCCTCCATTGGCTACAAGATTTTGAGTTAAAAAGACAGTGGATGACAGTGCTTATAGTTTGATAATGTTTGCTTACTGAGCGTGAAATGAAATTTAACTGTGGCATGTCTGCATTTGTAAATTTATTGTGGTTGTTTAGACTTCTTGCAAAATGAAATGTCAGGCAGTCATTCTGAGATTGAAAATACACTAGGCTTCAAAGGGCTCAGATAACTGAGGTTACTCTTTCAGTTTTCAAAGATTTTTTTTTCTACCACATAGAATTAATATCTTCATTCAGTAAGTGTGGAATGAGCATAAAAGAGTAACAGTAAAAGCATAAAAATACTTTCTGAATGTGAAATCCTAAGTGTGCCATCTGACTATCATAAGGGTTTCAAACATGCTCACTCTATCAGAACTCACTTTTTTTCCTGAAGGTGTGTGTCTTAGGAGGAAAGATTTGGACTAGACTCTTCTAGCTACAAGATGTTATTTTTATGCAACTAGATGCTTTAAAGTAATGAAAAATATAGTGCTGATTATAGCGTCCTTTAAGGTAATTGTGAGACTTCATGGAATCTATTTAAGCTCCATATTTGATGGTTCTGAAGAATATATTACCTAATGCCTTCTAGTTCCTGAAATTCATTTCATTTTCTTTCTCTGACTCCTCTCTTCCTCCTTCCCTCCCTCCTTCCCCTCTTTCTTCTCTTCTACTTGTTCTTTTCAAGCTACTTAGAGATCAAGAAAAGTCCATTTTAAGTTACATACATTTATTTATCTATTTATATCTGTTTCTTGGTTGGTTGGTTTTACCCAAGTACTGAATTTCTAAAAGCTGAGCTTTTTTATTTATTCATTGGCTACAGGAACATTTTCTTGGTATTTAAATTTTTTCCTGTAGTCGCACTTCTAAGTTGTCATAAATAATCTAATTTAAATTTCTTTTTTGTCCTCTAAATTCAGTACCATGTGATTCATCTTTCCTGCCTTCTCTGCTTCTTCCTCTTAAAGCCTCTTCTTGGACCCCAATCTTAGCTATGATTTATAAGCAAACTTGTTTAAATTGATAGCAAATATTTTAAAGTACTTGTGAGTTTTAGAGAATTTAGTAGCCATTTATCCAATTTGGATTATTTAGCATTCTTGCTTCTCCTATTTTTACTTATTTAGAGATGGAGTATCACTCTGTCACTTAGGCTGGAGTGCAGCGGTGCAATCTTGACTCAATGCAACCTCCACCTCCCAGGTTAAAGCAACTCTCCAGCCTCAGTCTCCTGAGTAACTGGGATTACAGGTGCCCACCACCATGCCAGGCTAATTTTTTGTATTTTTAGTAGAGACAGGGTTTCACCATGTCGGTCCAGTTGGTCTTGAACTCCTGACTCCTTGTGATCCACTCATCTTGGCCTCCCAAGGTGCTAGGATTTCAGGTGTAAGCCACTGTGCCTGGACTCTTCTTTACTTTTATTATTGAGCATTTGTCTGGTTCATTCATTTGTCTGTTTGTTCATTTGTTTACTCAACTGTTCTTCACGCATGTAACTACATGCTCAATATTTATATTTATTACGCAGTGGGTGTGCAACAGAAGACAGAGGGAAAATTCAAAGTCATCATTCTCCTTGATAGTAGTTACAAGTTCAAGTAAACAGTTTAAAACTGTTAGCTTAAATTACACTTTTAGAATGTCTATGGCTCTAAGGATTCATTTTTTACTCTATAAAATGTATTTAGTGCCAGTCACATGCTAGATGTTTAATCCATGACAGCTCTGACCAACTTTTAGAACTGATCCTGTTTCACATTCTTGTTGGTTGATTTTGATGTTTGACATACTTTTTAGAAGGAAAACATTAAAGGCCCTTGAATAATTTAAACAATATGTTTCCATGAACCATGAAGAATATGTGCTTGTCTCACACTAAATCTGATTCATTTACTCGACAAATGCTTCTTCCTGTGTGTCTCTAGTGCCAGGCACTGTTCACACTCTAAAGATAGAACAGTGCACATAAGGGTAACACTTCCTATTCTCCTAGAGGTCATATTATAGATGAGGAGGTATGTTAGTCTGTTTTTGTTACTATAAAGGAATACCTGAGACTGGGTTATTTAAAAAAATAAAAGAGGCTTATTTTGGTTCACAGTTCCCTAGGCTGTACAGGAAGTGCGGTACAGGCATCTGCTTCTGGCTTCTGGCGAAGACCTCAGGGAGCTTACGATTACCGCAGAAGGTGAAGGGGAAGCAAGTGTATCACACAGTGTGAGATATGGCAAAAGTTTCTCTTCAAACACCCCACTCAACCTTTTATTCTTTAATTCCCAGCATCCCCCCAACCTTTCTCCTCCTTTCTTCTGACTTTACTACATGCCTAGACATGCCACAACACCAGTGGTGTTATCAGTACCAGCTCACATTCCTTTCTTTACTTAAAAAAAAGACCAGCTCTCAAGTTTGCCGCAGATGATCCCTTCCTCCTCTCCACACTCTCTCATTATGCATCCACCTTATCTAAGGAAGTTTAAATGTTTAGCCAGTCAAATCTAGTTTAAATTGTGCAGTCCAACCTCAGCCAATGGGGAAAGGACACAGGGGCAGGAGTCGTGTTAGAAATCAACACTTCCATTCTCCTTTGTTCTAGGTGCTCTCCCGACGGCCAGGCCTGCAAGAAGCACCCTTTCTGCAGAGGGTAAAATTGCCTTACTAAAAACCTTTTTGTCTGAGTGCTAGTTCTCTTTGCAGCACTGAAGAACAAGCATTTATTTCTAATACACAGTGAAAGCAGAAGCAAAAGAGGAAAAAGTGCCAGGCTCCTTGTAAATAACCAGCTCTCACGTGAGAGAACAGAGTGAGAACTCACTCAACACCAAGTGGTGACACTAAGCCATTCAGAGGGATCTATGCCTATGATCCAAGGACTGTCCCACTAGGCCCCACCTCTAACAATGGAGATCACATTTCAGCATGAGATTTGGAGGGGAGACACACCAAAACATATTGGGGAAACAGACAATATACAAGTAAGTACATTATCAAACCAAGTAATTTCCACTAGTGAGAAGTGACTCTGGGGGCTATATTAGAATGGGGAGAGCTGAGAAAGCCTCGCCAGGAAAAGACACAACTTGAGCAAAGACCTAAAAAATACAAGAAGATCCACCTAAGCAAGGATGTGGGGGCAGTATGTTTGATACAGCATGACCAGGAAGGAAGACAACACTGAGTTGGCACTGTGCCAGGGACAGGAAGGTGACCACTGTGGACAGTATTAGGAGAAGAAGCTAAAGAGGCAGGGAGGGGCCAGCTCACCTCAGGCTTTCCAGGCCCAGATACAAATTGTCGG